GCTCACACACACACACACACACACACACACACACACATAGGCTACACCTCCTCCAAAGTACTCAACTCCACCCAATGTTATTATTTCAAGAGTCGCGCAATGATCAAATTAAATTCGTGGAGAATCTGAGGCTACACCTTTTAAAAAAATAAAAATAAAACCGACGCAGGTTGTCACAGGCTAAAAGCTTTGATGTTCTTTTTACACGCCAAACGTTAATAAAGAAAAAATCATTTGCTAGCAGTAGTAACTTTCAGATCTGCACATGCGCAGAAGATCCAGTCAACTTTATGTATTAACATTAATCGATATTAGTCCTTGTTTTTATTATGAACTATAGGTATACATTTAGAGGGGTGGGCGATGCTGTACATGTGTTTATATGACTGTTGAGTCGAAATATGCACACATTCAAATAAAAGATAAATGCAGATGCTTTTTTACGCCCTCATCGACAAAATTTAGATCAATCAGGAAGCGAGCATCCGGTCCTATTTGTCAGGGCCAACCTGGGCTGAAGGGGATACAACAATGTTCCTGCAGAAAGACCGAGATACTCGATAAAGATTTTTCCCCCATTTGGGAATCGAACTTGGGTCTCCTGCGTGCAACAGCGAAGTGCTTGACTACTGCACCACAGACGGCAATAGCACAAATTCAAACCCCGATTAGTACTTTACTTTACTTTTATCCGCCGCTTATACCCTTTTGCGTGTCGTGGGAAGAAAGAGACGCCTCTCTGTCGCCAGCAGGAGAGCTTGGGTCAGGGGGATGCCGTGGGTGTTTAATGTTTCCCTGACTCCATCTATCCAGGTCTTTCTCGGTCGCCCTCTAGCCTTGTTGCCATCGAATTTTAGGAGGTAGGCACGTTGTGCTGGATGGTGTGTTGGTAATCGTAGGAGATGTCCAAACCATTTGATTCTGTTGGATGTGTTTCACGACATCATTTGTGCCCACCATTTCTCGGATTACACAGTTTCTAATTTTGTCTCGCCTGGTCTTATTTACTGCTTTTTTAGGGCATCACATTTCACATGTTGTAATTTTTTGCTCTAATGTCTTGTTCTTGTCCATGTTTGGCATTGATAGGTGAGTGTTGGGATGGATATGGTGTTGATCATTTTGAGTTTTGTTGTCATGGGGAAGTTAGGATGTTTCAGTAGTGGAGTAAGCTGGTAACTAACATTATTGGCCTTTTGTACTCGTGTTTCAATTTCTCTGTTCAGTCACCCATCCTCTGTAAATATACTTCCGAGGTACTTAAATTCTTGGAACTGTCTGAGACTGATGTTGTTGATGTGTATCCTGAGTGGTTCTGGCTTTCTGTTTACCTTCATTGTCTCTGTTTTGTTGATGTTGATATTCATGTCGTAGTTGTTACATTCTTCGTTTAATCTGGTGGTGTGGTGTTGGAGACTTCGTTCATCTTTGTGTGTCAGGCTTTGGTCATCAGCGAAGAGTAATTCATTTAGGGCGTCTGGTTCTGTGTTGGCCTCTTTTGTAATTCTATCCATATATATGATAAATAGTAGTGGTGATAGGACACAACCTTGTCTTACTCCGGATATTATCTCGAACCATTTTGTGAGTCCCTCTGACGTTCTTACTGTACTTATGCTGTTCTCGTAAATGGTATGGATGTTATCTAGAAGTTGGCCTCTTACAGTGTAGTTTTCGAGTTCTTTCCACAGCTTGTTTCTGTTCACTCTGTCGAACGCTTTCTCCTGAAACTAAATCCATTTCTGAAAAAGGTTCTTCTTTTCTTTAACGGCCTCCTTAACGTTGTCATTCCACCATGGTGTTACCTTAACGTATCCTCTCCCAATTCTCTTCTTTCCACATACTTTTACCAGTGTTTCTGTTAGTAAGTTTTTAAAGAGAGTTCATGTTTATTCAAAAATTCATAGAAATGGATGGTGTCTTGGTTTTCTAGTCTCTTTGTGATCTCGTCCTCAACTTTCTGCACATTGCCCTCTTCATTGAGTTTTCGTAAATTAATTTTCTCTGAATGTTTCTTCTGTTTTCGCATGGGTCTTTTTTCTCTTTACTCGTCATCATCATCCTAGCAGGTTGGCAGCGGATTATTTATTGCTAAAAACATAAAAAGAAGAAAGAAACGGACACTGATAAGT